AGAGAGAAATGAGGTAGGAGGTATCCTTAGGTAAAGTTCCAACATTTTGTGAATATGCAAGAGAAAATGAATAGATAAAATTTGGAGAACAAACCTTGCTTGGCTTTGATTGTAGTGTCTGATGTAGGAACTTTGAAATGTTGTAATGTTGACAGAGTCCATTCAACTTTGATGCTGTTTTAATCATTAACAATCTGGTCCATGTTAGAAAAGTTATTCTTTACTTTTCATGTAATAGTTTCAAACATCAATGTTTCTGTTCCTCACAAGAATAACTTTCTGTGCTTTATGCTGAGTATTTACACAGTCATCACTAGGTTTTGCCACTCAGTCATGCTTGGTCCTGCTACCATTCAGTTCTCTGATTTTTACCTTCCCAAACTGAATCCAAAATAAACAAAGAAAAGCTTTGATCTATCTTTTGTACTTAAAATTACTTTTGTAGTTATTGAAGGGGGACCTGGGGCCAGGGAGGGGAAATGACAGACTGGCTTTCTTGAGATACAATATTATATTAAAATAATTAGACAAGTTTGAAAAGTTGCATGTGAATATAGGCCAAGATAGAATTTAAATCAGATTTTCCATACTTTCAATTGCTACTCAGACAGGGAAAATCTGTTCTGTCCAGGAAACAAGAACCCTCTGATAGATAGAGGGGCCTTCAGAAGAAGCACAAAAGAGATGAAATGCCCTTATCATTGATTTATTGAATTGTCCTAAAGACCCCCAAAGATCAGTGCATATTTTTGAACCATTTTCTGTGTGGAAATGTCAATGCATAAAAGTGTCCAAATCTTTATTCTTGGGGAATATTTAGATTATATCATTTGAAAAACTCCTAATTATACTAGAAGTTCCATCCCCTCTTGATTGAACCCCTGACTGTGTACTGTTCTAAGCTAAAAGAATTGTACGCAGTTCTCCACAAACCATAAACAACTCTGTTAAATTAATATATGCTGAATTCCTTATAGATTCCAAATTTTAGCTTCTTGTCAGATGTTTTGTCTAATTTTATGTCAACTTGACAGAAGTGAGAGTCATCAGGGTGGAGGAAGCCTCAATTGAGAAAGTGCCTCCATGAGATCAGGCTACAGGCAAATCTGATGGTGAGAATCCCAGCACACTGGGAGTGGAGCCACCCCTGATAGAGTTTCTCCCTCCCCAAGATGATGGTGTAACTCAGAACATAATGGAAAAATGAATTGCTTTTAGACTAATACCCAAATTTGTCTGCATAATTAGATACAAATTAAAATGTTAGGTTGTATATAAAAGTAATTCCCATGCGTGTATTTTCAGGTGTTCTATATTGTGTGGGATACTCAACAAAGGTGGGTCACTCCAGAATGCAATTCAGGCTCTTTAGTAGCAAGGAGGTCCAGCCTGCAATGGAACAAACTTTGAACCACTGTACAAAAGCATATTTATGGATTGTTACACAATGGTTGCATTTGGGTACAAGTTCCTCATTCCAAAGCCCCATTAATCCACGGTATAGGTTTTATGAAAAAAATAATGGCACCTGTGTGATGTTAGCATCTTCTCTAGTTGTATGTTCTCTTCTTAATTGGTTGATTAATACATTAGTTAGTTAATTTAATTAGTTTGAGACAGAGTCTTTCATTACACCTGAATATATTTCATCAGTTCAGTTAGGCTGACTGACTGACCAGTCAATGAGATCTGATTTTACATGCTCTACCCTCAAACAATGGGGTTCCATATATATGCTCCATGTTTAAACCTGGCTTTTATGAGGGTACTTGGGGTCCAAACTTAGCTCTTTATACTTGTGAGGCAGGTACAATTCAGCTGAGCTATCTTCCCAGTTCCTCTTCCTACTTTCAATCATTTTTAGTACATAAATATGAATTTCTTCATGACATTTTCATGTATATCATATTTTATTCCTCTTCCAGCACACCTCTCTCTGTTATGAGAATTAAAATGGTAGTATCATGCTGGGTGATAGTGAAGCACACCTTTAATCCCAGCACTTAGGAGGAGGAAGTAGGCAGATTTTTGTGAGTTTGAGACCAGCCTGCTTTACGAGAGCTAGTTCCAAGACAGGCTCCAAAATTACAGTTTCTCGAGACACAGTCTCGAGACAAAAATAAAATAAAATAAAATAAAATAAAAAATTGTAGTCTCATTTATGCTAGACTATGGTCATACCATTGAGCCCCAAGCTTCTCACTGTTGATTCCCAGAGTCCATGCATTTAGTTTGAATGAGAATGAACCCATAGACTTATACATTCGCATTTCTGGTTCCCAGTTTGTGGAAATGAGTACATACCATATTCATCTTTTTGGGTCTGGGTTGTCTCACTCAATAAAGTGTTTTCTATTTCCATCCATTTGCATGCAAAATTCAAGATGTCATTGTTTTTTACTGCTGAGTAAAACTCTAAAGTGTATATGTGTCACACCTTCTTTATCCATTCTTCTATTGAGGGGCACCTAGGTTGTTTCCAGGTTCTGGCTATTACAAATAGTGCTGCTATGAACATAGTTGAACAAATGCTTTTGTAGTATGATTGGGCATCTCTGAAATGTTTGGGAAGAATTAAGATGTGTATCTTTTTAAGGAGGCATGTCATTAAGGGTTGGCTTTGTTTTTTTTCTTTTACATTTTTATTTATTTATAGTTATTAATAAATGCACAAATATAGTATTCCATGTGATGTTTTGATGCATGTTTGCAATGTATAATGCTCAAATCATTGATAGCCTTTGCTGGAGACATTGTGGAGAAAGGGGTACACTCATCCATTGCTGGTGGGAATGCAAACTTGTGCAACCACTCTGGAAAGCAGTGTGGCGGTTTCTCAGGAATCTGGAAGTCAACATACCTCAGGATCCAGCAATTCCACTCTTGGGAATATACCCAAGAGAGGCCCTATCATATAACAAAAGTATATGCTCAACTATGTTCATAGCAGCATTGTTTGTAATAGCCTGAACCTGGAAACAACCTAGATGCCCTTCAATGGAAGAATAGATGAAGAAAGTATGGAATATATACATATTAGAGTATTACTCAGCAGTAAAAATTAAGGGTTGGCTTTGAAATTTTAAATGTCCAACCATTCCCTGTTAGCTCTCTCTCACTTGCTTCATGCTTCTGAATAAGGTTGTGAGCTCCCAACTACTGCTCTAGCACCATGCCTGCCTGCCAGCTGCCATGATAATCATGGACTCAAACCCTCATTCCATGCTTCCAACCCCCCTCCCAGATCCCCCAAGATAGTCTTTCCTCTATAAGTTGCCTTTGTCCTGGTGTACATTCACAGCAATAAAAAAGTAACAAATACACCAGGCAAGTGCTCCACCACTCTGTTATATCACCAGTGCTTTTAGGGTCTTAACTGGACATAGGGTTTTATTAAGTTACTTAGGCAAGGGTACATGCTTAATGTAAGCCTTCCTAGTGTAAAAATGAGAAGCATGGGAGGCCATACCCATCCTTAGACTTCTCTTCTTAATAAGACTTCATTTCTCTTTACTGGAGTGAAGTGGGGAGGCAGCACCCTTCTAGTGATGTTCAGCCAATGCCTGTTGTTTTTGGCAGTAGAGCTATACTCGAGTAGTTGAGTAGGTAAGTTGGGAAACCACAGTGATTTCAGAAAAGCATCTGTGCTTTTCTGACCTTGACAACGTGCCATAATGGACCTGAATGACACTAGGACCTTGTTCCTGCCTTTCTGTCAAACAGGGTAATCCGGCATTGATCTTGTGTCATTATTCCAACCCAGGATTCACAGTGGGAGCCATGAAGCATATTTCATGCAGTAAGGATTACAGTCTTCACAGTTTGGGGGAGATATACTGCCTTCACCTAGTAATAGGCAGATATACATAGATATTTAGAACCTTTATCTTAAGCCACATAGTGTATTAGAACTACAGTGTACTTATGATATCTACTCCCAAAATATGACTGTCAGATATTTGAAATATCTCTGGTGTGGTAGCACATACCTGTAGTCCCAGCATTCAAGGAGTTTAAGAGGAGAACATTATTGCTATGCTCTTGTGGTTGAAAATAAATTTCTGGAAAGTATGATGATTTTAGGCCTAGCATCTGTACTTTTTTTTGACTTCAGCAAGGTGTCAGAATAGACTTAAATGCAACCAGGACCTTGGGCTTGTCAAACAGGATCATGTGGCACAGAATTTGAATCATTGTTCCAACCCAGGATTCCCAGTGGGAGTCATGAAGTGCATTTCATGAAGTAACTGTCACAGTCCTCACTTTAGGGAAGGTGTATTGCCTTCATCTACTAAGAAACTTTATCTTAGGCCACACAGTAGATTACAACTTCATCAGCCTGGGACACAGAGAGAGATAAACAAAGAGGTCAACCACCAAATGCATTTCAAATGTGATATAGTCAATCAAATGTAAATTTAAATCAACTGAATTTTGACATTAATACACAACTCTTGGAATACTTTAGATATTCTTGGAACATCAGAGTAATGGAAAATTCTTTTTTTTTGTAGTGAGAGAATACATGCACTTTAAATATATATACAAGGTTTTTTGTTAATCTTATTTTTCCATTAAAATTTTCCACTTCCTCCCTCTTCCCATTCCTCTCCAGCTCACCCACTCCCCCACCTCTCTCCCCCTCCCTCCTTTGAGAGGGCAGGGTACCCTGCCCTGTGGGAAGTCCAAGGCCCTCCCCCTCCATCCAGACCTAGGAAAGTGTGCATCCAAACAGACTAGGATCCCAAAAAGCCAGTACATGCAGTAGAAACAATTCTCAGTGCCATTATTAATGACTTCTCAGTCAGCCCCCCTTGTCAGCCACATTCAGAGAGTCAGGTTTGATCACATGCTTGTTCAGTCCCAGTCCAGCTGGATTTGGTGAGCTCCTATTAGATCAGGCACACTGTTTCAGTGGGTAGACCAACTCCTCACTGTGCTGACTTCCTTGCTCGTCTTCTCCCTCCATCTGCTCTTCAAGTGGACCCTGGGAGCTCAGTCCAGTGCTCCGATGTGGGTCTCTGTCTCTATCTCCATCCATCGCTGGACGAAGGTTCTATGGTGATATTCAAGTTTTTTTAAGAAGGGTAAAACAAAAAACAAAGAACAAAAGAACATCTTAGAAGAAAATTTTGGTTCTCAATTAAGACAGGCAAACACTGCCAAAATGTACACCATATTTCAAACATAATGTGAAAACCAATGACAGCAAAACCATAACCAGGTTTGTTGACATTAGCTGGCAAATCCAGATACTTCACAAGTTGAGGCAAATTGACCACATGTTAAAGACCAGTCTGGGCTATAAAATAAGACGTAAAACAAACAGCTGTGTTGGTAGCAAAAAAAAATATCTATAATCTTGATATTTGGGAGGTAGAGGCAGGAGGATCAGGAGTTCTAATTTAGCCTGGGCTACATAGTGAGGCTTTTTTTCCCACAACAAAACAAAAATACAAGAAATTATGGGTGCCCTGGGTATAGCTAAGTTGGTAGAATTCTGGCTTACAAAGCATACATGAAACCCTGGATTTAATCCTCAGTGCCTCTTCATATGACCGTAGTGGCTCATGCTTGTATACCCAGCACCTGGGAGGTAGATGCAGGGTGATCACATTTCAGTATAATCCTTGGCTGCAAAGTGAATTTAAAACCATCTGAGTTACATTAGACCTTGTCTCTAAAATAGGGAAGACATTATGGTACATATAAATCTCTTACAATTTATCAAGAGGACCATATTTGTAGAGTCATCTTTGACCACTGAATCATGATGGTGCTGATGGTTTTGGGTGTTTGATAATTGTAATTTCTTTTGATGAAAATACGTATGGAAAGTCATTATTACTGAAAGTGCATTAACTATGTATTTTAAAATGATTTATGTTCCTGTTCCATTTCAAAAGTCATGGATTTGTATGCATGTACCCTCACATACCACTGATGACCAAGTCCAGAATTTAATAAATTCTCAGCAAAAACTACCAACTGAACTACAACTCCAGCCAATTTTGTCCTATAATGCCTCTGTATTTGAAAGGTTTCTATAGATGTCAATATTGTTTACCGGGTTCTTGCTCAGTTTCTCCCCCTTCTTCCTCTGTAGTTGAGTCAACATGACCTTCCAGTTCTCTATTTATCAATTCTATTGTAGATAGAAAACAAGCTATGAGAAAGAGAAGATAAAATCTCATTGAAGGCATACACATATATAAACTTTCCATTAGCAATATACATGCACAATATAAGTTTATCCTAGTTTATATTTTCTCAGGTGTATGATGAATAATAAAGTCCACAAGTAAATCGTTGTGTGAAGGATTGTTGGCAAAATGAAACTTGGGACTTATTGGTATGGGAAAAATATATTTAGTGTGTGAAGGGCTATGTGTTCGAATGTGTGTGTTTATCTATTTTGTGTGTGTGTGGGGGGCAGAAGGCATCAGTTTGAATGTCATCTCTACAACCATATGTTGAAATTTAAATGTCATTATAACATTGTTAAGAAGTGTGATCTTCCATGTGTAATAAGGTCGTAAACATTTTGCCTTTATGTTGGATGGTTCATTGTGAATGTTGCCCAAAACATGTGCTTAAGCATTTGGCCCACAGCTAGTTGTTCTGTTTTGGGAAATTATGGAATCTTTGAGAGGTGAGGCCTGTCTGGTAGAAGTAGGTTACTTACAATGGACTACAGATTGATCAGTCACAAGCTTCCGTATCAAGACTTGAGTCCCAACTGACAGTGATTCCAGCCTTCGAGTAATATGGTCATGTTTACAATCTAATTCCTGCATTTGTTGCTTTTCTTGTCACTATGGACAAATTCCTACTGCAAAGCAACTTTTATTAATTTTATGGCAGGTTAGGCATGCCACTTGGGGCTTTGATCTAAGTATGGGGGCTGGTATTTGTTCTTATTTGTGGTAGATGGAAAGAAGAGGAGGAATAGGACACTGAGGAAGAGAGAAAGTCACATGCCATGAATTTATGACCCCATCATCTTCTCTCCAACCTACTACTTTCTTGCAAGCTTTTCTTCTTATGCTGTCCGGCCACCTCCTTAAATAGTATCATCAGTTAGCTACAACGTGTTGACATGGAACCTGTGATAAATATTTTACATTCAAAAAACAATACTTTGAGAATAGATAAAAATCACCATTGTAGGGTGAGCTAGCTAAGAATGTTCAGTTTCCTTTGTAGCTTTCGCCACTAGTTTTAGGAGATACAGTTGCTGAACCATGTATCATATCAAAGTGCAGCAGTAAAGCATTCATCAGATGCCAGTTCAGTGTTCTTGAATATAAGTGCTTCCAAAACCACAAAACCAAAATTCCGTTACAGCAGAATACAGACTAAGACATTCTCAGTACAGCGGTGAACAGAGAAAGTGTCAGATAATGATAGGAAGAGAGAGGATCAGAGAGCTTCTGTGTTCTATCTATTGTCAGTAGGACAAAAGAAATCATTTTTATCAGTCACAATCATCAGAGACTATTTTAGTCAGGCTTTCTACTTCAGTGACAAAACATCATGACCAAAAGTAATGTGAAAAGGAAAGAGTTTATTTTGCTTGCATTCCCACTTTACAGTTCATCATCCAGGGAAGTCAGGGTAGGAACCTGAAGGTAGGAGCTGATGCAGAGGCCATGAAGGGGTGCTTCTTATGGGTTGCTTCCCATTACTTGCTAAATCTGCTTTCTTATAGAACTCAGGACCACCAGTGCAGAAATAGCCCCACCCACAACGAGTTGCCCACTTCTCCATCAATCCCTAATTAAGAAAATACCTTACAATTAGACCTTATAGAGGCATTTTTATCAATTAAGGTCCCCTACTTTCAGATATCTCTAGTTCGCTTGTCAAATTGACACAGGACTAGCCAGCACAAGGTCCATTCTTATATTACTGAGTAGACTAAGCAAAACTATCACTAGGTACAATCATCCACAATTGATAAAACGTAAGTGTAGATTATTAAATTTATTTTAAAAACAATTACTAGTTTTAAACGTTTTACATAGTAATAGACTTTTGTATATTGTATACAAATTTTGTATATTGATACAAATTTGAGATTAATTTTGTTAAAACATATGTTTCTAAACTTGTTCAAGGTATTGTACCTATACAGCTCATTTAACAATGTAATGCAAATTTCTAGTCTTGGAACGATATTATTACCAACTGTTTAATATAACAAGGAAATGCAGGTTAGTAATTAGTCACCTATTATATTTGAACTTGTAGTTATATTACAATGTAATGGATGTTTTCAAGGTAAAGCAGAGATATATTTTAGATAGACAGGTCATCTTCAAACAATTCAGAGATCGTCAGAATATGGCATATAAGATGTTTTAATAATATAGGCTCTTTTTATGACAATAAGACATGTCTGCTTCTGGCAGCACCAATATACTTCAGAGAAGGTAAAGGGCATTGGAGAAACTCAACTGGCAAAAAAAAATGCCCTTGCCTTGACTGCTGACAGTATGCTTTCCTAATTGGACAAGCAGGACACAAAAGAAAGCAACTGGCAAACATTGTCAAGACAAGGGAGGATAGCCCTGCAATACATCCTGTTTTACAGAAAAGTCTGTTAGATATGCTAGACCTATAAGCTGAAGAGAGATGCCCCAATGTTGCAGAGGAACTCTGGGTGACTGTCTAGAAAGCCAAATGTTTCTGGTATTTCTCACATTTTTTGGAAGTCGCTTGCCTGCACTTCCTTCTTTCTCAGTTAATATTATTTCCTTTTTAGGTCTCTAAGGGAGAGTTGAAGACTAGATAGTTATAGTTTTCCTTGTTTACCTGACACAGAAAGCAAGCTATGGCAGAAAGCAAATTAAGGACAGGATTTGGATTCACCAAAATAGATATTGATAGGATAGATATGGAGTCCTTTCTCTGTATTTGTCAATTGGAAGTGGACTAAATATTGTTGATGTGTTTATTGCCCGTACATATTGTATAAAGTTATTGTATTTACTGTATATAGTTTTTCTTATATTAGCAAAAGCCTAATTTTTTTTATTTTAGACAAAAGTGAAATGTAGTAATATTTCATTTTTATTTTAATAAATAAAGCTTGCCTGAAGATCAGAGAGTAAAACAGCCCCACTGGTCAGTCTCACAGTCCAGGTAATAGTAACACACACAGTTAATCACAGTAGTCACATTAGTTTGCCATAGAAACTGGGTGGTAGTAGTGTATGCCTTTAATCCCAGCCCTAGAAAGGAATATAAGATGGGAGGAGACATCTCTCAAACACAGTAGAGGATTCCTAGAGGCAGGATCACCATTTCAGACTGAGGTAGAGGTAAGAGCCAGTGGCTGGCTGTTTTGCTTTTCTGACCTTCAGGTTGAACCTCAATATCTGTTTCTGGGTTTTTGTTAATCATGCTACACACAACCATAATCATATCATAATCATATCATAACAGATACCATTCCGGTGGGGTGTGTGTGTGTGTGTGTGTGTGTGTGTGTGTTTGGGAGGGTCATGAGAAAGGGAGACAAAAAGGAAATAAGAGTCATGAGAGACCCCGGAGATGATAGTTCTCCGCCTTATGAAAGGCATCCTAGGAGACACAAATGAGAGTTTGTGTTATTTTTCCTTCTGAGTTTGTATAACCTCAATTAATATTATGTACTCTAAAACTTTTCATTTCCCTGTAGATTTTGTGGTTATATTCTTTTCTTTTAGAGCTGAACAAGATTTAATTTTAGACACACACTAGGTTTTCATTATCCTTTCACCTGTTGATGAACAGCTATGTTGATTCCTTGCTGTAGTGAATATAGCAGGTACCTCTATGGTAAGGTATGGGATTCACTGGGTGGATGCCCAGGAGGGAAACAGCTGGTTGATGTGTCCGTTTGGGTTTGCAGGAAATTGTTGTTGCTATTTTCTTGTTTGTTTTTGAGGGACCTCCAAAATTATTTCTATCATGAATGCATTTATATATGTAAATATATGTACACTCACGTGTATATTTAACATGTAGAAAGGAAATGAAGAAAGGGTAACATTAGGTGGTGAGGAAGGGTAGAATGCAGCTATAGGAAACATGAGCCATGAAAGAGGATGCAAACTAGTTGTTTATCTTGTTTCTTTAGAATAAAAGGAAAGGTGTCTGAAGAGGAGGCCTAGCATGAAGAAAGTGATACTTTCAGTCTTCCTAGAAATCTCACCATTTCTCCTGGACATGGGACACCTTCTTAGCCAACTAAATTCTCATCATTTTTCCTGTCTAGCTCTTGCCACATATCCCCAGGCTGTCCCTAAATCCTGATTTAGCTGCTGATATTACAGTCGTGGGTGCCATGCATAACTCATGCTCTGTTCTTGGAATCTGCAGGTAAATAAAAGGAACTCAGTTTCCAAGTGTGAGAACCCAGACATCCAAGGACAGGGTCAGATCTGTGTGGTGGTACCAATGCACACAGAAAGGGAACAACAGCCTGCAAATTTATTTGGGGCCAGGATAGAAGTTTTACAAATATTTGACATGAAAAGAACTGGGAACTTTTTATTAATATTCTTAAGGCAGCATCTCTAATGGTGAATCCTGTTCATAGGGTGGGGTTCTAAGTCTCTCTGCATCTTAGACATCACATCATAAATTTTGGATAAATCAACGCAATCTAATCTTTCATTACTGCTTGTATCTGGAGTAGATAAGAACGTGTATGACATCCTATAAAATTTGGTTTACTTGTTTTATAGTACTTTATTGAATACTCTCAATTGAATATAATGTGTTTGGATCAAATTCATTCCCCATTCCTTCCCCTCCAATTCCTTTAATATGCCCCTATCATTTTTATAATATCCTCACAACACCACATTCTCTGTGTGTGTGTGTGTGTCTTTCTCTCTATCTCTTGCACACACACACACATACACACACACACGGATGCACAAACACATACAATCATCCTCATTACTTACATTAGATGTGATTCAGAGGGATAGAAGTCTCAGGGATAAGTGGGAAAGTCTCAGGGGTTGTATGTATAATGTCCTTGGATATGCTGAACCAGGGAAGTAAACATCTTGCCTCTGAACTTCTCTGGACAGGTGGAAGTAAATCACTAGAAATTGGCATTCCAAGGTCAATAAAAACAAGGTCTAAAGGATAGTTCATGCAGCAGAACAATGTAGGAAGGATTAGGAAGGTCTATACCTTATGCAGAGTCCCTATAAACTGGCTGTTTCTCAGATGCTACAAAGAATATGAAGCTGAGGGAAAGATGGGAAACTAGAAATGGGAAGAAAGGGGAAAACCTCTTGTAAAGTTTTATTGGTAAATTCAATATAACTCTATTAACTGTATCACTATTGATAAAAAAAAAACAAGAGAAAAATATTGGGGTTCAACCTGAAGGTCAGAAAAGCAAGACAGTCAACCACTGACTCTTACGTCTGCCTTAGTCTGAAATGGTGATCCTGCCTCCAGGGATCCTCAGAAATGAGACTAAGTCTGAGAGCTGTCTCTTATCATTTTGTGTTTCTCTCTGGGGCTGAGATCAAAGGCATGCACTACTACTGCCTGGTTTCTATGGCAAAGTAATGTAACTACTGGGATTAAACATGTATGTCACCACTGCCTGGTCTAAAAGACTGACCAGTGGGGCTGTTTTACTCTGATCTTTATCCAAGCTTTATTCATTAAAATACTAATGAAATATCACTACAGTGCAGATGAGAGTTTAAAAATTACATAACTGTACATCTATCAAACAATTGGACTACTGATGGCATAATACAGGGACATTTTGAATTCCACAGGGTTCAGATTTTAGTGTAAGCTGATCTCCTAGAAGCTATGTAGGCAGGATCTGGATCCAAGGTCATAACCCTTTCACTTAGCACCATGGAACGTAAGTGGGCCTTCAGCAACTTTATGGTACTCTACATGCATTGCCTGCTCATCTTGATTGTTTGGAAGAGAACCAGTAAGGAAGGGAAGCTATTCCCTGGCACCACACCAGTACTATTTTGAGGGGAACGTATTACAAGTCTGTGTTGATGCCTTATTTCAATTCTTCCTCAAGGTGAGTGTGTTCATTGCTTCTTATAGTAATGAAGTCAACAAACAACATAGATGATTACACACAAAAACTCATGATTCCTAAACAAAGACTCAGAAAGAAACTTTGGGAAACTTAGGATTCTGAAATTATAGAATCCTAAAATGAAGAGGAAAAAATTTAGACTCTGAGCACACTAGAACAGAGCTCTCTCTTCTCAGGACTCTGGATCACATTCTAAAAATTTTGGGAATCTCCTTTCTTTAAGCACAACTTTTGTTCTCAAATTGTCCTAGACTTTTAAGACGCTAGAAACCTAGCATTTCAAAAAGAGAATATATAGATCACAGAATTCATCAAGTCAAAGTCCATTGTTTCACAAACAAAACTAAGCAGTACAAAATTCGGGACATGCACTGCCCAAAGTCAAGGAATCATTTTGATGCTTTTTTCCCCAATAGCCCTTCTACCTTTCTCTATTCTATGCTTTCATCCTCCTAGAATTTCTACCCTCTACATTCCTTGACTGGGTGTCCCATCATTTTGCAATTTACTCCTTCCTTCCGTATTTTCCTTCATTCCTAGCTCCAAGAAAAATATGGCTCTCTGTTCACTGTACACTTTGGTCTATAGCCAGTGCCTGTCTTATGTGAACATGAGGCTGTGAAGGAGGCCCTTTTAGACAAAGCAGATGACTTCAGTGACTGTTGTGAAATGCCTGCACTAGAGAACTTCAAGGTCATAGTAAGTGGCATCAATAAGGACAGAAATGACTGCAATGTACTCAGTATATTGAAGAGTCTCTGACAAATGATTCATGAATCACCTACATGGATTCCCTAGAGAAGGCTATGAATGCTCTGCTAATTTTGCGACTATAAAAGCTGATAGATGAACATCCAAACTGGCTAGGCGACTTTCCACAGGGCAGGGAATCCTGACTGCTCTTTGGACTGGAGAGGGAGGGGGAGAGGAGTGGGGGGAGAGGGGCGGGAGGAGGGGGAAGGAAATGGGAGGCTAGGAGGAGGAGGAATTTTGTTTTTTTAAAAAAAAATAGAAAAAAAAGACAATAAAAACATAACTAAACAAAAAAAAAGCTGATAGATGAAAAGGCAAGGTAATGTCACACAGAATGTTTGAGGAATAGTTTGCTTTTGAATTCTAGAATTTGGACTCTAAAGTGCTTGCAGTGCTATTTTTTATCTTACTTGTAATGAATTACTGTGTGGTAATATTTGTGTACCCCCTAAAGCCTTTGCAGCCAAACTTAGTTCCTATCTGCCGATAGGCACATACAACTATCACCAGAACCTGTATTTAGGAATATTTTTGTCTAGTGTTAACTATGCTTAAGCTATTGGCTAAAAGATATTGCCAATAATATGGTTTCTGTGTGATTACTTTGGGTTTGAGTAGCCAGGAATAAATAAACAGCCTCTGCCTACACTTCCTCTTCTGGATCTTTGATGTCGGAAGACCCACCTTCAATCTGAAGACAGCCTATATAAAGGACATGGAAGAAGGTAGCTGGCTTTCTTTGCCTGTTTATTTTCACTGTCACTAGAGCCTAGTTCTTCATGATTCTCGCAGATTCTGAAGACCAGCTGAAACATCCAACCGCATGGACTGAACAATTACTGGATTCTTAGACATTCCATTGGTATGTAAACATATTGTTTGGCCAGTAGCTTAAGAATATTTTTAGCTGGCTCTTATATCCTAAATTAACCAGTCTCCATTAACCTGTGCATCACCATGAGGTCATGGCCTACGTGCAAAGTTTCAGCAGGCTCTGGTGGAGGTATCTGTCTCCTGTGGTGTCTACAGGTCTTCTCACTGACTCCACCTATTTTCTCCAAGCATTCAATTTAGTTTCCCTGCCTAACTCAATTCTGCCCTATCACAGGCCAAAGCAGCCTCTTTTATTCATTAACCAATAAAAGCAACACACATACAGAAGGACTTCCCACACAATTTCCCCATTTCTGTTCAAATAAAAAGGAAAATTTTAACTTTAATCTAGTAAAATTACATATAACAAATCAGGTATCAAGCAATAACTACACTTATAATACTTACATCTACTTTATCTTTTATCATACCTAAGGAAAACTATAAACTATCTTTTCTTCAACTCCACTGAAGACTAGAGAAGGATATAATATTACCTAAGTTAACAGGAAGTGCACTGGAAGCAACTTCCAAAACTCTAGAATTGGCAGAGACATCTTGCTGCTTGGACAGTCACCCAAAGTTCTTCTGTACCATTGGGGCACCCATCTTTAGCCTTCTGCACCATAGTATCTGGCATACTTTTTCATGAAGCAGGAAATTTTAAAGACAGTTTCACTTATATTGGCAAATTGTAAGTCACTTCCTTATATGTCTTGCAGAATGTCTGACAGACTCTTTCACGAAGCAGGAACCCTGAAGGATCTTTTCACCTTAGGAAAGTTTAGTTTACATTTCTCTGTGGGTCTTGCAGTCCAGCCAAGAGCAGTTTCTTGCCCAGATGACTTACCTATACCAAAAGGTGCCCATCATCCGCTTGAAGTAGATTGGTGCTGACAGGAGCAGATGAGTCTCATTGCCATGAAAAGTCGATGTTTGTACTTAAAGTTGACAAACAAGAATAGTTATCACATATTAGCTGCATGTTAGTGGACTTTCATGTGATACTTCATTAAAAGAATACAGCATGCACTGGTCAAAACCAACACCCCTTTTCTTTGTGAGCCTGGCCTACTTTTAATTCAACATTTCCTAGCTTCCATCCATGATAGAGGACATACAGTAACTGCCTCTGTGCCTGACTTGTTTCAAGTAAACTAATTCCTCCAGTTCTACCCATTTTGTGGCAAAGGACAGTTCCCTTGTTCTCCATAACTCCATGTATATATACCATATTTTGCTAAAATATACTTCAAATTTATAAAGTTTAGTATAAAGAAACTTTAAAATTACAATTTTAAGACCATCTATGCAACAGACATATTGTTGAAAGTCAGAATGTACCTTAAAAGTCTTAGATTTGAGAACTTTGGCAGCTCAATCTCTATATTTCAGTTTAAATTTCAGAAACCAGCACCTTTGCTTTCATTGTTTCTTCTGGATTTACTTAATGCAGCTTTCCTCCTTTCACAAATGCATCTTCTCTACACAGAGAAAAGGGTAAGATAAAGGCTCAATGGGGTTCTTTTGTTGGTGATCCACTTTGTTTTCAGGATAAAAGAGACCCCAACACAGAATTAAATTTCAAGGAGTTGGTACTCACTACCCTCAACCTCTTTGCTGGCATGGAAACTGAGTTCCACCTTTTGCTATTAATTCAGGCTGCTGATGAAATATCCCAAGTTGAAGGGTAAGTTTCACTCTGAGCAGATAATCTGGTACCTCCCATACCTCCTCAGAAGGATAGCAATCTTGAAATTGTAAAGTCCCACAGCCGTAGCATTTCTTCCCTTAATGACCTCAGAACAGGGGCCTTTTCCTCTCTGATTGTCCCTGTATTCGTTCTCTGTGGTTGATGAGACTTAGTAGCCTGTATTTATCATCTGACCTTCTTTGTCAGGGCTTCTGCCCAGAGTGGCTTCCACTAGACTGACACCAAGGAAGACAGTGACTTTTTTCTGCTTTTCCAATTCCCAGAGAATCTTCCTTGATTTCCTGGGCCCAAGCTTGTTTCCTGCATCTACAAATATAAAGCCGAGCAACTTCCCATCTCTTTGTTTCTGTTACCTTCTCTCCTAACTCTCACCTGCCTGCTTCTCTAGATTTAGATACATGACTACTCATAGCCAATAGGGATAATCTGGCTAACCTATTCATTTCTCAGAAACTTAGTGACAGCTGCCAAGTCCCCTCTGACCTTATGTAATCCTTTGTACATAATGTTGAAGACAAGGGTTTGAAAAAAATGTAGGGGTTATTTGTTTACTAATGAGCACAAATGAAACTGTTCGAGGGCTATGTATAAATCTAAACCCAGACAAGCATGTGCAGGCACCAAATGCTCATCTATACACACTATGGATCCATGTGTCTGCAAATGTACACCATAATGGACACAAAAATATACACTTAGTAAGAAAAAGTCATTTCTTGAACATACATTCACACAAGCATAAATATGGAGTTAAGTACCACATTGAACATACACATGGTAGACATGCTACAATGGGAACATCCTAAAACATGCATGTATTAAGATGTTTACCTGCAGAGAATGGTGAGTGTGAGACCCTCACCCCTTATTCTCAAAGGGACAAAATTTTCCTAACAGAATGTTTTAAAATTAGAAACACAGACTAGTTTCACTTTTCCCTTCCCACCTGAGATACTCCAAAGGACAAGGACACTTAGCCAGTCACCTGGTAATAAAGGAAAACAAAGGACAAACTAACATAGCAGGATGGGAAAAAGCAAAAGACCTTGCACCCGTGCCAAAGCGGCTCTGAAAGGCCTTCTTGTAGTATCACCTTTCAAAAACTAACCCGCAAAGGAAATTTTTAACTTCTCTCTTTACCTTGCTGTTTCAGGGTTTTGGAGGAGAAGTTCCTGGCTAGCCTGTACTTGCAATAAAGGAGTTAACCTTGCATTTTGCAGTCTGGTCTGCTCTGGGTTTCTGGTGGTTTCCCTTGGGGGGTCGTGATCTAGGCACATCAGTGAGCATGTACACACACACAGACACCCTCAGATACACAGATGTGAAGATGTTGATATGAAGTATATACCCACTGATTATGTTCCCATAAGAATCCAACTAAGATTGGTACAGATACAAATTAATCAGTCCACATGGGCATTGTAGTGCTTTGAATGAGATTTGTCCTACAATGGTAGCTCTGTTGGAGGAGGTTTGGGTGGTATAGCATCCCAGGGGGAAGTATGTCACTTGACCTTGGATTTAAAATTAAAAGTCCATATACCAATTTCAGTTTGCTCTTAGCTTTGTGTTTGGGGTTGAAGAGGTGAGTGCTCAGTCTCCTGCTACTGCCACAGTCCCTGCCACTAGCTACCATGCTCTCCACCACAACCAACTATTACCCATCTGGAATGGTAAGCCCAAATAAACTCCAGTACTTTGTCTTAGTCATGGTGTGTTATCATAGCAACAGAATAGTAACTAATACACAGATGTTGCAACATGCCTTTCCACAGAGACCCCAAACATACTCAAAATGATACATAGGGAAGAATATGTAAACAAAGCTAAGCCAGGAAAAAGTACCTATTGTAACTTACTTGTCAAAATGATAATAACATGAAGACATCCATGAACACAGAGAACTCTTGGGGACCACAGTGACTTGCTAGGAAGGAGAAAGAAAGTAAGTGGATAGTTTAAGGTAAAGGGAGGGAAGATAGACAGTAAGGCAAAGTCCTGTACAGGCTTCAGCTCCATCCAGAACAGTCTAAACATCTACTAATAATCTATGCTTGCTCAGAAGTTGCCCAATAGAGCATCAGTCTTCCAGAACAAATTTCCTAATCACAGCTGCAGAGATAGAAGGGTAGTAATGATTGACTTCAGTAAATAAGTATTGGGGAAGGGGGTTTCTCAAATGCTCTCTTCTGGCTGGTCCTGGAGGCACTCACAACAAGACAGACTATTGCTATAGTTCTGCCTTTACCCCATAACTAGATGTTAGGACCCTGTTGCTGAAGACACCACAAACTTTGGCTGCAGGACATAGAGAGATCAATCTTGAACTGACCAGGAAATTGTCTCCTTGCTGGCTAACTTTCATAGTGCTAGAAGGTGTGGGGCAGAGAACTCTGGGGGAGAACACCTGGCAATGGTCTTCCAGTGCTGGACCCTCTATGCTACGATGAAAACCGTAGATTACAAAAGGCAGATTGAGGTTTAGAGTAACATCAATCCATCTCCTTTTTCTTATAGATTAATAAGCTACAATAACACTTGGAAAAATAGCTAATATTTGTTGGTTTTATGTATTAACTCATATATTGATGGGGAATCTCAACCAATCACCTAGTTTGTGGAGTGTGTTCCCCTGGGGCCCCAAATCGCCTATAAAACCATCTATGTGCACTTGTTTTCCCTCTTTGTTTTTCCTGTGCTTTGTGGGAACTCTGGCTTTGTAAGTCCCCCCCTTCTTGCCCTTATTAAAGCTAAATATTTTTTCCGTTTATTTATTTATTAAAGATTTCTGTTCTTCCCTGCCACCGCCTCCCATTTCTCTCCCCCTCCCCCAGTCAAGTTCCCCTTCCTTGTCAGCCCATAGAGCAATCAGGGTTCCCTGACGTGTGGGAAGTCCAAGGACCACCCACCTCCATCCAGGTCTAGAAAGGTGAGCATCCAAACTGCCTAGGCTTCCACCAAGCCAGTACGTGCAGTAGGATCAAAAACCCATTGCCATTGTTCTTGAATTCTCAGTAGTCCTCATTGTCTGCTATGTTCAGCGAGTCCGGTTTTATCCCAGGCTTTTTTAGACCCAGGCCAGCTAGCCTTGGTGAGTTCCCAAAAGAACATCCCCATTGTCTCAGTGTGTGGGTGCACCCCTTGCGGTCCTGAGTTCCATGCTCGTACTCTATCTCCTTCTGCTCCTGATTTGGACCTTGAGATTTCTGTCCGGTGCTCCAAAGTGGGTCTCTGTCTCTGTCTCCTTTCATTGCCTGATGAAGGTTAATATTCAGGAGGATGCCTATATGTTTTTCTTTGGGTTCTCCTTATTTAGCTTTTCTAGGAGCACTAATTATAGGCTCAATGTCCTTTGGTTATGGCTAGAAACCAAATATGAGTGAGTACATCCCATGTTCCTCTTTTTGGGTCTGGCTTACCTCACTCAGGATAGTGTTTTCTATTTCCATCCACTTGTATGCAAAATTCAAGAAGTCCTTGTTTTTTACTGCTGAGTAGTACTCGAATATGTATACATTCCGTACTTTCTTCATCCATTCTTCCATTGAAGGGCATCTAGGTTGTTTCTAGGTTCTGGCTTTTACAAACAATGCTGCTATGAACATAGTAGAGCATATACTTTTGTTGTATGATAAGTCCTCTCATGGCTATATTCCTAAGAGTGATATTGCTGGGTCCAGGGGTAGGTTGATCCCGAATTTCCTGAGAAACCGCCACACTGCTTTCCAAAGTGGTTGCACAAGTTTGCATTCCCACCAGCAATGGATGAGTGTACCCCTTTCTCCACAACCTCTCCAGCAAAGGCTATCATTGGTGTTTTTTATTTTAGCCATTCTGACAGGTGTAAGATGGTATCTTAAAGTTGTCTTGATTTGCATTTCCCTGATCGCTAAGGAAGTTGAGCATTACCTTAAGTGTCTTTTGGCCATTTGAACTTCTTCTTTTGAGAATTCTCTGTTCAGCTCAGTGCCCCATTTTATAATTGGGTTGATTAGATTTTTATGGTCTAGTTTCTTGAGTTCTTTATATATTTTGGAGATCAGACCTTTGTCAGTTGCGGGGTTGGTGAAGATCTTCTCCCAGTTAGTGGGTTGCCTTTGTGTCTTAGTGACAGTGTCCTTTGCTTTACAGAAGCTTCTCAGTCTCAGGAGGTCCCATTTATTCAATGTTGCCCTTAATGTCTTTGCTGGAGAGATGGCTCAGCCGTTAAAGGCTGGGCTCACAACCATAAATATAAATCTGAATATTTTATAATAAAGTTAGCCTGGTTAATTCTAGTTGCCAATCATTTACACCTCTTCAGTATATTACTACCGAGAGATACATAAACTCAATCCTAGAACCCATAAAATTCAGTTTGTCAATGAAGTCAGCTCTTCAAGGAAACACAATAAAAGAGAAGATTTTAGGGAGACTGACTGGATTGTGAGGTGGTGGAGGCTGGTATCTGCCCAAGTCAGGGTTCCATTTCATGCCTTACCCTTGAACTTAATCACTCAACCAGAAAGGGTAACTGAGGTCCATCAAAGGGGATTTTCTGCATCAACACTAACTCACTCTGGAAGCCTGTCTTGTGGTACATCCACTTGGACATGTCTCTTCCAGGTGATTACAGGCACCCACCCATTGTTCGTGTGCCTGTGTCTCTCTCACCTGACTTCAGTTTCTGCTCTAACATTCATGGGCCCACAAAAATCATTAAGAGCAAATACACTTGATCTCTCTTGAGCTTTCAACCTCAGTTCCCATTCTGGCCCTTTCACCCCATCCCCTATACAGATCATGGGAGCCTGCCTGAACACTTGGGCTCCTTGCTGGTACCACCTTCACTGAGAAACAGTGTCTCCAAAATGATTCCCTTTCTCCTATTCAAGTGGAAACAGTGGGAAGGAGAGGTCCAGATTTGGGATTTGTGTAGGTGCAGGCTGGTAATAAGGATTAAGGAGATAATGCTACCTGCCAAGCCTAGGCTAATACCATTCCCTGCCTCTTTCTCCTCCAAACTCAACAAATAGCTTTCTTCTCTGCGTTTCATGTCTCCCCAACCTGTCTCAGAGTCCAACAGCCTAGAATGAAATGAGCAACATGCCAGCTATAGAATTTCCAGCCTCATCCACCTCCTCTTGTCTAAAGCTAGGGTACCACCATGAATGGTCCATCCATGAAAGCCTGCCAATGTCCACCAGAGGTCCTTTCCAGGATCTAACTCAGGTCAATCTCAGCAAGTACGTGGTGTTTATGTCAGAATCTGCTGGAACCAAATCCAGAGACTGTATGATGGCACACGTATGCCTTCAATTCAGGTAATTCCAGTGACAGCTTACCTCCACTCTCAAGGTCCCTCTTAGCTTAAGAGGTGATTCTACTAAAATACCCTTGGTGTCAAGTTCAGTGCTAACTACTTTCTGGCCTCAGTGCTTTCTGGGGACAATCTCAATACCAACCCCATCCCCTCCCTCCTGGGTTTGCTTGAAACTGACAAAGTAACTGCTGGTGTCTTTTCTTTTGTCTACTGCAGATCTCAATCTCAGCACCCACCCTGTCCCTGAATGACTCCTAGAATGAGGTGGGCCAGGCAATGAAGAGAAAAACAAGTCAAATTACAAATCCTTTATGATCTTGGCAATCTCAGTGAGGTTGAAGATGTGACAATTACATAATTATTAACATTCCACAGATGGGATACACATAATCTTATCAAAAGGTAACTATCTTAGCCGGGCAGTGGTGGCGCACGCCTTTAATCCCAGCACTCGGGAGGCAGAGGCAGGCAGATCTCTGTGAGTTCGAGACCAGCCTTGTATACAGAGCTAGTTCCAGGACAGGCTCCAAAGCCACAGAGAAACCCTGTCTCGAAAATCCAAAAAAAAAAAAGAAAAGAAAAAAAAGAAAAACCTTAATTATTATAAAAAAAAATCATTGTGGTAAGAACAGTGGACTATTCCTTTCTCTGTGACCAGATTTAGCTTCCCAGGATTCTCTTTTGTTTCCCATGCTGGATGATTACCTAAGCCCCTCCCTCAATCTCACTTCCTGCTCTTAACGTCCCTAGGTAGTGCAGGCATCAGTTTGCTTACCACACATCCCAATGTTGACCTGCTCCATGTTCTCCTGCCACTGGCCGGGAAAAGAAGTCTAGAAAGAGAAAGCTGAAAATGTAGGCTCAGGAAGATTTTGATGGCTTTGGCTTACAGACTTTTCATGTATGTTGTCCCCATGCCACGCTCTGTGTCCTATTCTCAGTGCATCCATATATAGAACAGGGAACTTTTGTAAATTACAACAGCCATGAGCCAGTGAACCTGGTAGCCTTTCCTAAGGATCTGGAAAGGAATGGGGGTACTTTTGTAAATTAGAACTTCTCTAATGTATTGGTGGTTGTTATCATCATTCTTCAATGACAGACCCTTTGATGATCATGATCCTCAGATATTATCTCTAGTACTGAGCAAAGTTCCTTTGAAATAGGACTCTGGTCTTCCCCAACTTTTCTAGTTCCTACATTCCTATTCTAGCCTTAGGAACTTCCTTAATGGTTCTGAGTATCAAATATAGTCTAGGGCCAAAACCAAAGTATACCCTGCCTGGGTACAGATATTTACTCCAAGATCCTCTTGGAATTTCCATGTGTTTCTACCAGGTACTCCTCATCCACAGTCTTGCTTCAAGATCCAAAACCTACAGTCCTGAAATCTCCCCTTCCGTAAATCCAGGACCCTCTGCATTGAAAGGCTCAGGAGTTAGGGGTAGTGATGTTGGCCTATAATCCCAGCACTCAGGAGGCAGAGACAGGTAGATTTCTATTACCGACATATTGAGCTTGAGGCCAATCAGGACTATATAGAGAGAATTTGTCTCAAACTAGAAAGAAAATGAACTTCCAAACTTATAGCCATTTGTCCCATTTCAAACCAATGAGACCCTAATATCACATCATTTTGGTTCCTTCCCAGGAGAACCCACACCCAGAGCTCAGAAGGGTCTCTAATACAAATGTCATGAAGGATT